GAGCGCTCCCTCGCCGCCTCGGAAGCCCAGGTGTTGGGTCCTGGCGACCTCCTGGCCGCGCTGGAGACGCTGGGCTGGCGGTGCGCGAGGGGCACGGCCCTCGCTCTGCTTCGTTCCGAGCGCTTCCGCATCGCCTCGAGGGCGTGCCGAAGTGCCGAGAGCGCGACACGCAGCACTGCCGCAGCAACGGTGAATCAACCCGGAGGAAAACTCTTCCCCGAAAGAGGCTGTGCTCCGCGTGGGGCCCTTTTAGTCGCTTGAGTCGGGAAGGCCTGGATTCCCAGATCGGTGGTTATTTTGCGTGGCGTCGCCACCAGGTTCAGGATGCAAAAATGTGGAAGGCGCGCTACAAATAGATACAAAAAGTTTTGCGGTCCTGAACTGGTTGCCATCATATTGCATTAAGCGGTTTAAGGCGCTGGGCTCTGCGGCGAGGCATGGCCAAATCCACCTAGTTGAGTGGGTTCAGTTCCAGCTGAGAAAAAGATGCCTGTTTAATTCCACGTGGCTCTATTCTACTTCTCGTGGGCTCTGTGTCAACAGCATGTAGGCCCGCGCCCAGCGCTGTCTTGGATGTTCTGGGGATGCTCTTTTGAGCAGAGAACACCTTTGCGGCCTCCGCAGGGTGGCTCGCTCTGCCTGGGACAAGCTGACCTGGAGGCAAAAGAAAATTCAGCTTTCTCTTCGCCCCGTTCCCCCGACACCTGCACTGTGATGTTCTTGAACTGGGAAAGTTGTGCCTCTGTCCTAACGACTGGATTTCTTCATCCCGCTCCCCTTCAGATGGCGGCGCGGAAGATGCTTGTGCTGTATGGCAGCCAGACAGGAACTGCCCAAGACGCTGCTGAGAGGCTTGGTCGGGAAGCCAAGCGGCGCCGTTTCCAGTGTAAGGTCGAGGCCCTGGACAACTACCAGGTGGTGAGTAGCCACTCAGGGTCTTAGCGGTGATTTCAGTCTCAGTGTGTGCAAAAGCTGTATCTGTAGAAAATCATCCTGACGTAGCATACGAAGCCGCCTAGACTTTATCAGTCTGCCTGAGCTCTCGAATCTGTGGAAGATGTCCCTCCCTTGTCCCATATCGATGCACCCTTGGCTGGGGTGGGAGAGAGAGCTTCTGGCCAGAGGAGGTAAGGGAGACCTTTCGTGGTTTTTCCTGAGTTGGGTGGGAGCTGCCTTTCTCATTTATTATTTTTTAATGCTTTAAATTGTAGTTTTAGCCCTTTTGGTCCACTTACCATTTCTGTCTGCCCCGAGTACCATTTGTTGGTGGAAAGATGGGTCATCAATGAGATCGATGCTCTTGAAGAAAAAGAGCATTTGTTGGGAACTGATTTTGAACCTCTCTGTCTTTCATGGCTTCTTCAAAGGCAAACTTGATTCAGGAGCCACTGGTGGTATTTGTTTGTGCAACCACAGGACAAGGAGACCCTCCAGATAATATGAAGGTTAGTTCAGACATCCTCCTCTTGTTCCCTGGGGACTGCAGGAGGGGAAGGGAGCGTAGGTCATCAGACGGCCATGAATAAAGCAGAGTCCCTACCATCCCCAACAGTACTAATTGATTGGGGCTCAAATCTTTTTGCAGCAAAGCCTCCCGTCTCTCATATGAACGTAAGAAACTGCTTCATACTGAGCCAGACCCACATCCATTTTGACCCATGTGGTTTGGTGTGGCTGGCTGCAGCCTGTTAAACCTGACCTTGTTAACCCATATCTATCTTAGGCAGAAGTTTTCCTTGCCTGCCCACCTAGCCAATCAGGGGTCACTTCACCCTTGAGCTTTAGTTCCTCCTCTAGTGGGCCCCAAATGAAATTCCCTGGCAGCAAGCGGGATAAGATTTGTGGAGTACTTGGGGTTTTCTGAGCTTGGTTCTTTTCTTGCAAACATTTCATTATAACGTTTGCAAGAAAAGAACCAAGCTCAGAGAACCCCAAGGACTCCACAGTTCAACCCTGAGCTACACATAGTCACCTCTATTGGGATAAGGTTTATTTGCGAGGGAGCTTCCATATAATGCCTTCCTTTGGGGTTCATTTAATTTTCCAGAATTTCTGGAAGTTCATATTCCGAAAGAACTTGCCTCCGACTTCCCTGTGTCAGATGGACTATGCTGTTTTGGGGCTTGGGGATTCCTCATATCCCAAGTAAGTGTCATTTCTCTTTCTGGGAAATTAACTGGCCAAGCGTAGTAGTTGCAGTTCTTTGTCTTGTTGAAATTCCAGTCTTCTGACTGCTCCGAGCTACTGCTGTCTAGGCTTTGGGGCTCTGGATCTTTGTCACAAAAATGTGGGGCAGAATCGGTTCAAGGGCTGATCTAAGTTTTGTAGCTAGAGGCAGCTGTCTAGTTGTACAAAAACAGGTGACTGAAGTACAGAATGAGTGGGACATCTTCCTTTTTTTGTTTGTCTTTGGATAAAAGTATTTACTATAATCCGAGTAAGATTTGCAGACCATCTTTTCTCCTGTACCTTTTTTCTCTTCCCTTTTTTCCCCCCACTTCCTATCACGTGGCAGTAAATTTCATCCATTAAATGGTGGTGCCTGTAGACTTCTTTGGGCTCACTGCTACAAACTGTGCTTGCTGCTTGGGGGACTTCTCCAGCTGTGCCAGTAGGTTGTTAAGGATGCTGGTGAACAGATTCCTTCCCCCATCTCTCCCTCTCTCTTCCACGTGCACACAAGTATACGTACTGCCATTCTACCACCCTGCCCATTAAAGCATTCTACTTTTTCCTGTAAGATTGAATGTCAGAATTGCTTATCCTGCCAAATGCAGGGGGAGCTAGATGATTTAAAGCAAGGCTATTGTCCACAATGAGGTCTTCCAGCAAGCAAAGAGTTTCCTGCATTAGCTTGATCCAAAAGACCCCTCCAGCTATGTAACTCTTTTCTGCATAGCCCCACCCTGCATTCTCCTTCTCTGGGAGAAGGAAACTTGGGAAATTGTGTGTTCACAAATGTGAGAGAAATTTAAGACATCTGAAAACAACTTGAAGGCTTTCTGAGTTTTTGAATCAAAAAATTATTTATAAATTTATGGGTCAGCATGTTTTACACCCACAGCCCTCATATAGAATTACATGTAAATATAACACGTGTGTGTGTAGAAATAAATTCCTAGGCTTCAGAATGGACTTGGGGCACGCTTGATTCCTGTTGAGGGAAGCAGAATGAGGGATGGCATTGGTTGATGGAAAGGCAGTCAGCTTGGGAGTGAAAAAAAAATGCTCCCTGCCTCAGCTTCCCTCCCACTCTGGAAGACTTTTTCCAGAGCTGTCTGGATTTGGAGTTGCTGGCGTTTGCTTGTGGGAATGGAGGTTCTGGAAGTTGCCTTCTGATTCACCAATTCCTGCTCAGTGTGTTGTTCTGTTTTGGCTGCTTCCTGGTCCAGGTTCAACTTTATTGCCAAAAAACTGCACAGGCGGCTTCTTCAGCTTGGAGGCAGCCCCCTTGCACCAGCTGCACTGGGAGATGACCAGCACGACTTGGGGTAAGAGGTCAAAAGGACCTGGCATGAATATGGGTGCCTTTTCAGGAGACTCTCAAAAACTCTTTAAAAAAATTTGAGGCCTCTCACTCACTTTCCTATTCTTCTGGTTCTTGTCAAAAGCTTCACATCCGAGTGCCAATTTCACAGAGGCATCAGAAGCTGCCTCGTGCCCAATCACACGACTGACTTGCATAGCTCATTGTCTGCGGTGCCAGCAGGAACTCCCCAGGGCACCTTTTCCCACCCTACCTGGAGATGCCAGAGAGGGAATGTGGGTGCTCTGCAAGCTCTTTCAAATGGCTGTTGGCACCTTCAGATAATATTAGGGTTCAACGCATACAACTTTCTGTTCTGAAATTCATTCTGTTCTCTTTCTATAGACCAGATGCAGTTATTGACCCCTGGCTTTTAAGTTTATGGGAAAAGATCTTAGAATTGTATCCTCTTCCCTCTGGCCTCCATGTGATTAGTCCCAATATCCTGTAAGTACCAAGAAAGGTTGGCAGTTGATGCAGAATGTGGGTTACCTTCATGCATGTTATTTTTCTGACAGAATAAAAATAAAACAGAAACATAAGTTAGGGTTTAATAGATTAAATGCAGTCCTGTAGGGATTGCTTCTGAGTAGACAAGTGAAGGATTATGCTGTAAATATTGCAAAATGGAAGCTGCAAAAATAAGAGCAGTAAAGAAATAGTAAAGGTAAAGCGATGTAGCTCAGAGGTTAAAAGACTAAGCTAGCGATCCAAAGATTCCCAGCTGGACTCTTGCTTCTGCTGTGAAGTTCCTAGATATCCCTCAGGAAGCTGCTGCTCTGCCTTGACCTCTCCCATCTACCTGCAGCATCCTCTGTCTGCAGCATCTTCAGCTATTTATAGACAGCTGAAGGAACAGATAATGCGTGTGGAATACTTTGAGCTGCTGAACGTGCTATACAAATACTGTCTTTTCCCTTCTTAAACAACCAAAGAGAACCGGGTTGCCTGTGCAAGGTGACTGGAGAAAAGGGATAGGCTTTCCACAGCTACTCAGCAATCTTCCTGCCTTCCCTGCATGCTAAGGAAAGAGAACTTATCATCCCAGTTCTGACTTCTGCTGCTTTCTGTACTTTTCTGTAGATTACCACCCAAGTACACCTTTCAGTTACTGGACGAGGCCTCTGGTGACCTCAGCGTGGCACCTCTGCAACCAGAGGATGCATCTCGTGATGTTCCCTCCGAGATGAACTCTTTCTCTGCCCAGATGGTGTCCAATCGGAGGGTGACATCAGAATCCCATTTCCAAGATGTCCGTCTCATTGAATTTGATATTGCTGGCTCTGGAATCAAGTGAGTTTCCTTGGTTTGTGTTGTTGGTATTTCCTGGGTGGTTCAAGTGGAGTGCGCTGAGAAAGGGCTAGAAGAGATGTACTTCTGGTTGTATGAAGAAGGGAGGGTCCCTTACTCAGTGCCCGGGTTCACCCCGGTACTATCGCCTGGCAAAAGCGGGTAGGTGATGGGCAAGGGAACATGTCTAACTCCCAGCCTGGTCCCTGGAGAGGAGCTGAGACTGAGCAGGTCACAGGCAGCTCCTGGGTCCCTAACAAGCTTTCCAGGAGCAGCCTGGCTGTTCCTGGTCACTGAGAAGAAAACAGAAATCTGAGGGTCTCTGAAACTGATCCCCAGCAAGGAGCCCAGATCTCAGGCATTGCTTCTTCATGGCAGGTATGCTGCAGGTGATGTCGTGATGATCCAGCCACGCAATGGTCTTGAGGAGGTGCATCTTTTCTGTAGCCTCCTGCGCCTGGACCCAGATGCCTGCTTCATGCTGAGGCCAACAGAGGCAGGTATAAAAAGTTCCCATCAGCAATCTCTCCAACTAGCTCACAAGGCAAGTGGGAGTCCCTCCCCACCTCCTGATTGGCAGCAAAGTCATTCCCCTGCCTTTCGCAGGTCTCTTAGCTGATAACCAAGCTTGGGAATTACCTCTGGCTGCCCACATCAACCAGGATGAGCAAAGCTAACCGGCTTCCTTGCAGGGCAAGAGCACCCTGTGAGAAAGGCTGAAACATAATTGCTGGCAGGGGTTTTTGAGTGTCCTGGGAGCCTCTGAAGAGTTTTAGTGCCTCCAAACACCAGGCTAGTTCTTGTTCAGAGGGATGCCATCTGAATCCTGCCATCTTGGACACCTTCCAGATTGCTGGACGGTGCCTGATTAAAGAAATCTTAGGGGATGAACCAACCAATTTTAATCAATTAATTGACAAAATTTGCAGAAATGAACATACTTGTACAGCAGCCATTTTGAATGGGATAAAAGATTGTCATCTTGATTTCAAGGTAGTGGTTAGACACAGTGCGTGGAAGCGATAAAGAAAGACCAGTTGCTGTTGGTAGTTTTTATGAAGTCGTGGTGTTAAGGAAGCAAGATTAGCACCACTTTGCAAGGCGCTTTAATCCAGTAGCCTTGCAGTCCTGTTGATTTGTTGGACCCCTGCGTTCCAGGTACTCCTCTACCTGCTCCTCTGCCCCAGCCCTTCACCGTCCGCCACCTGGTGACCCACTACCTTGACATCACCTGCGTCCCTCGTCGCTCCTTCTTTGAGTTTCTGTCCCACTTCTCTCCGAACGAACTAGAGCGAAGTAAGCTGCAGGAATTCAGCTCAGCCCAAGGCCAGGAGGAGCTTTATGCTTACTGCAACCGGCCCCGCAGGACCATACTTGAGGTAGGCCAAGCCTTTGTGGGTCTGCATCTAGGCATGGAGGAGGGCTGCTGTGTGGTGGTTCCAGGTCTTCATAGCCACGTTCCTCAATAAATCAAGATCTCATCAGTAAAGCTCAGACTCCCCAGGAGTCGTTCCTCTTTAAACAGCTTTGCACCTTTTTCTTACGTAGCTGTAATTTTTTGCTCTGGTAACTCTGGGTTGGGAGAAACCATATGCAGTCAACCTGGGCTTTTGAGATCTCAGAATCTCTTACCCACCCACCCCTACACGTACTTTCTGGCCTAACGTCACAGGCATAGAAACAAGAAGCTGTTTTTTCCTCAAGCATTCTGGACTTAGTGACGTATTGGCACTTCTCCACCTGCTTGCTAGTTTGTGGTATGAGTATAGAAAGATTATAGGATTGCAATTCAAGGTTAATGGACGTTTATCTGGCATCAACGGTCTGCCTTCTAAGCAGATAGAGTTGAAGAGCTATTAGTGTGTCATTAAAGTGTTATCTTTTTTCACGAAAAAACCCTTACCTTAAAGTCATTAGATTTTAAGGGCAGCCACCAAAGCAATGTCATAACAGGACACAACCTCATCTGAGCATTCCTCAAGAAACAGGTGCTAGGATATTTGTTGTTAGCTAAAACAATCAGATTTTTAAAAAGGATTACAACTTTGCACTTGCCAAATCCAATTGGCACCGTATTCCTTCACTATGTTAAAATCTATTATCTGAAGCAAAGCATTATTAAAAGAGGGGACTTCTTTATTCAGAAATTCATCAGCAGAAAATATGCTCCCTGCATTCCTGACAAAGCAGGGTTGTTGACTTAGGGACCGCTCTCTTGAACGGTGCAAAGTGTGCATCAGCCACCGCAGCCAAGGAAGTCTGAAGATACAGGCACGACTGGCGTACTTCTCTATTTCGCCTGCTGTTACCAGCATGGTAGTTTGTTCAGGGTGCCCTCTTGATTCATGGGGGGAAGCAGCTGATGAGGCCTAGGGGGGCGCTGTGCCCCTGCTGAGCTACTTCCAGTAAAAATCCCTCAGAATCCTCTGCAGCAAGTCCTCTCAAGAGTGGCTGCTTCAGAAAAGTCCTTTCAAACAGCAATATTTGAAATATTGATGCTTCCCTTTCTGCATCCTGCTCTGTAAGCTTTTGTTCTTCGTTGCGGTTGAAGCATTATCTGAGTCAAGCTCTTTCTTATCCTCCTTCCCCAAGGTCCTCTGCGACTTCCCTCACACAACTTGTGCCATTCCATGCGATTATCTGCTAGACCTCATTCCACGGATCAGACCCCGGGCCTTCTCGATTGCTTCCTCGATGCTGGTAGGTAAGGGAGTGCAGGAACTGCAGAAGTCCATCAGAGGGGGGTGTTTGCTGCGTGCTTTGAGCTGATGCTAAATGGCTCCGGAATAAATTGATACCCCCACCCCACCCCCTCACTGATTCTTTGTCTGCCCTACCAGAGGGTTTGGTCTGTGCTTTGAATGGTAACAATTCCAGTCACTTAGTCTTGTCTTCATTTGTAAGTGTTTCTTTTAGGGAATCTAAAGTCTAGTAGAAAGAATACAAGTCAGTGTCTTTCTTCTTGAATAAGGAGATAAAGCTTTGCAAGGATTTTAGGTCTGAGCTATTCTGGAATTCAGGCTGAGCAAAGTTGACCTTGATTCTTTGATAGAGGGAACTGCAATCCTGAAGTTTCCCAGTTTCTGTGAATTTGCAGGATGACTGCTAGCTTTTTCCGGTGGTCAGGAAAGCAGACCTGCCCTCCCCAGGGGTGGGGATGGGGCTTTTTGACTCTCTTTGGTGCCCTATAAGCAGCTGCAGTTAAATGACCTGCGGTTAAGCCCTTGGGAGAGGAGGGTCTCCTTTTTGGTTAATCTCTCGCTTCCCCTGCACTTCTGTCTCAGTCGTGAAAGTGGCGCTAGTCAAGTGTAACTTACTCCCTCTCCTGAAGGAGCCCCTTGAATCCGTAAAGCTCCGAAACATAAAGGATAACGCACTTCTCTCACTCAGAATTGGAAAACAAAATTGCGGTGTGGACAGAGTCTTTCCGCCCATGTCTGGCCAGTCCCCCGAACAGCTCATTGCTCATGGGCACTGGGTTTTCAGAAAGGGTGCTGTTCTTTTTCTGCTGCTCTCTCCCTTGATCCCTGCCTGGGTTCAATTCTGCCCAAGTCACTCCATCCTGGGTGCTTCTCCCCCCTCCCTCCCTCCCTCCCTCCCTCCCCAGACGCATCCCAATCGAATTCAGATCCTCCTGGCCGTGGTGCATTACAAGACTTGTCTCAGTAAAGCTCGGCGTGGCCTGTGTTCTACGTGGCTGGCATCTCTCAGTCCACAGAATGGTAAGTCACCCTGCTTTTTCGCCATCAAAAACCATCCCGAATGGGGATACTGGAGGGACGCCCAAGCACTGTACGCATCCCAGGCAGATGTTTCCTTTCATTTAGCACGGGCTCTTTTCGTCTCCTTTCCCAGGGACGGCGCAGGTTCCTCTTTGGGTGAAGAAAGGGATGCTGAAATTCCCGGTGGAACCAGGCACTCCAGTAGTCATGATTGGACCTGGCACCGGAGTGGCCGTTTTTAGAGCAGCAATACAGGAGCGAGTTGCCCAGGGCAAAACAGGTGAAGTAGTTGTGTGGAGGAAGGCAATCTTCTAAAGTCTGGTCAATCTTTCAGTCTTTCAAGAGCAGATTGTGTGACCTTACCTGCAATTTTCAGTAGATGGCATCGGTGGTTGTTGTGGACTTCCTGAAATACGCTTGGGAAAGGTGGATAGCATGCAAAAGAATTCATAATTTGCCCATCTCTGCTCGCGTGCCAAGTCAGATGTCAGGATATTTGCACAGCTTCTTGGGCAGCACCATGAATGCCCGCTGTTTGAAGTCCTGACTGTTCCACTGCTTTTAGTCCAGTTGTTGGTCAGTTAATGCTCAACATGCCCTAAAAAGACTCAGTTGTTTGCCCTATTTGTACTTATATCAGACGGGAACTGGAATTGGCTGTGGTTCCCTGTCAAGCACAACATTCGATCATAGTGGTCAGTCGGTGTCCCTTCGATGGTGTGGAAAATGGCTCTGCCCGGCAGGACCCTGGAACTAAAAGAGCTTTTATCAAACTAGCTGCATTGCTCTTAAATGGCAGCCGCATCACTGAACAACTGGCGCTTCTATCTGCTCGGCTTTGCCGCTGTGGCTGTCGCAGGTCCTGACGTTCTCCCCGTTTGTCTTTCCTCAGGAGGGAACTGTCTGTTCTTCGGCTGCCGAAAGAAAGCCAAAGATTTTTACTGTCAGGCAGAGTGGGAGGAACTGGTGAAAAGGGGACTCCTAATGCTCTTTGTGGCCTTTTCCCGGGATCAGGTAAATCCTGCCTGCGCAGCTTTGTTGGGGCTGTACGCGTACACACCAACCCAGGATGCAAGGGCGTGTTTCTCAGCCAAGATTCCTGAAATGGGGATTGAGGAGCCAAAACAGAAAGGGAGAGTGGGCAAAATGTACAGCTCTACAGACCAGGCTGAAACTTCTGGTATCAACAGCAGGACTGGCTGATGGAAAGTTTTTACAGCTCTGGGGAGTTGAAGGGTCGATGTTGGACACCCTTCCTCTGTTCCGTTTTGGCAAAGGGCTCTGAAGCCTACACGTAGGCAGACTGGGGCACCTCTGGCTGAGATGTTTGAGCAAAGAGGAGAAGAGGGTCCTTCCCCAGCCCCACCATCCAAATGAATAGCAGCTGGAGGGGGGCATATTTATAGATGTGCTACAGTACAGCTTCACGTCACTTTAATGTGGGTCTCCCCTCCCTAGCAGCATCCAGAAGCCCTGGACTTCAGCTCCCATGAAATTGGTACACACCAGATCAAGGGCAGCTCTGAAACCATCCTTTGGAAGGTTGAAAGCAGGAGCCATGTTTGCACTGAGGTGGGGGTGTACAGCTGCTTTTCCTCTGTACCATGTGCTTCTGTGGTTTGATCAGCTTGGCTCCTTCTGTTGACTCTGGCTTGTGTGGCCTCACCGGGGGCAGGTTCTTGTTGAAGGAGGGCAGGCTCTGCCCCCTGACTGGCCCTTGGCGGTGACCTCCAGTTCTTTTTTCACCGTCTGCACTATCCAAGATAGTTGGGTCTTGTACTTTTGGTCACAAGGTCCAACTATCCCCACTTCTCTTGCCTTTTTCTGAGGCAGAAGTGGCATTATCGCTGCAAGATAAGTTTAGCCTAATGTTTTTATTCGTGTTATTCTAGCACTGAACAAATACAGAGCTGGATAGGCCAAGAGTGCCATGCCTGTTTTTGGTGCCAGGCTGGGTCTGACTTGGGTTTCCTCCTGCATTAACTGACGGAGAATCTAGCTTAATGCTGGAACTCTGTCTTTGTGGGCACAAGGTCTCCAGTTCTCTCCTAGTGGCATATTTAGATAAAAAAAAAAAAACACGTTATGGGAAGGGCCCTTCTCAAGGCTCTCAAGGGAACAATTCCTGCTCAGGAAAGCAAATAATGTTGGATTGGGTGGTGAAATAGTCCAGCCTGAGCCCTTTGCCTCTGGCTTTACCTCTGAGCACTCTGTCCCACTTCAGAAAGCAGCCGGCTGGAATGATTCCTTCTCTTTTATGAATTCTCAGCCTGCTAAAGGGACTCCCAGCCACCTCCTTTAAAACACAGCCGAATATTTAAGCCCGTGGTCTCCTGTTACTGGTATTTTGATGTGGCTCACTCCCAGGAAGGGGTGGTGCCGTATGTTTCTCCTGAACGTGCAGCTTTGCTCTGACAGAACAGTCAGAAAGATGTCTTCGGAAGAAGGCCAGGAAGAAAACAATTACAGGACCAGCCCTGTGTCCACACCCAGCTTCCTGCGGGTGTTGGCTTGAGGAACACTCAGTTGATGTGACCTATTCAGAAGTCATCTGAGTAACCCTTGTTATTCCACACGTTTGAAATTCTTCCTTTCATTGCCACCTTCCCAGTGAATCTGGGACTAAGGCTGGACTCCTAAGGAATCTGCACAGGTGCACGTGCAAAGCTGGTCTGTCGTCATCTGACGTGTTCCAGTTATTTGTTTCACCTACAGTTGGATTTCGTTTCTTAAATTATTTAATGCTCCTTAGCAACATGTTCGTTTAGTCCGGGGAAAAAAAGAAATGAGACATATACAGATTATAGCAAGAGGAAAGCCAGATTCCTGTGATTGCATAAGAAAGAGAAAGAGGAAGAGAGAACTGTTCCCCCCCCCCGCTTTGTACTGTATCTTTTTATTGCGCAACTCCTGAACACCAGCATATCTCCGTAGCAATAAGGATGAGGAGCAATGTGTGCCCTCATGGAATAATCCTTGTTGAAAAGCTTCACTTTGTTCCATTTATGCTCCTATGAAATTGCACCCCCAAACCTGATTCTGAGTGTGCCAGGTTCAAGAGCTTCTGAAGGAGACCGTGTGTAATTGCTCAGAGCAGTCCCTGCTTTCCCTCTGCTTATGGTGCAAGTTACTGGGGCCTAAACACACAAACAGCATGAGGTCACGTGACCTCTCGTGTGGTCTCCCCACAGGAAGAGAAGATTTATGTCCAGCACCGTATCAGAGAGAACAAGGAGCTTGTGTGGGACCTGGTGAAGCACAAGGAGGCCCAGATCTACCTAGCCGGGTGAGTGCCAGGAAGCTGTCCAAAGGGTTAAGACGTTTTCCGGTCATCCTCAGCAGGTAACAAACTCTGGCTCCCGTTTACAAGGTTTTAGCAGATCCAGCCCTTCCGTGCCAGTGCATGGAAGAAATCCTGCAGCATCTGGAGTCTCTGGTAGCTGCTCCACAGTGCTCCTCAGGGGCCCGGGCCTGGCCCTCTGCAACTGCTAAAGGGTGAACTTCATGCTGGCAATTACTGTCAGATTACGTCTAAGCAAAGTAGCCCTGCTGCCCACGGACTGGGAGCCAGCTCAGAGCATCAAGTGATGCTAGATTCTGGAGCAACTTGACCCGTGCATCCTGGTATAACCTCAAGCCCCAAAAGGGTTTTGCTGTAATCAGCTTGTTAGCTTTGGGCAGAGCTAAAAGCTGTTCTTATTTGCCCAGTGCTGAGCCCCACTATATATTCCACCTTTTCCCCACATACAAAGCTTAAGCCGGGTTTACCCCTTAATGCATAAGTTTGGAATTGCAGCCTAGCCTGTCACTCCCTCTGGAAATAGAATTTGAAGGCAGCTTGGCAGGAGCATGTCAGCAACTAAGGCTTGTACGGATGGTTTTCTGGGGCAGAAGGTCTGAGTGTGTAAGGCAGCAATGCTGAATTAATCTCTGTGGGCTTCTGGGCAGAGAGTTGATCTTTCATGATGGAGGGCTGCTGCCTGAATCCGGCTGACATCCCGTCCTTCTTCCCGTCTTGGGCTCCAGCCTTGGATCCTTGGTTTTATATTCGTATTGATCCAGTGTGGTGGGGCCTCCCTAGTTTTTTAGCATGTAATTCCCCCAGTGTGCGGCCTGTTTGCATGCAGAGCGCGCACCTTTGTGTGCATCCTGAAGAGTGCTGGGTGGAAACAGTTGATTCGTCTTCGTGCCCCAGGGCGGAGGCCACGTCAAGCCAGTTCTTGTTGTAAAACTAGTTTTTTCACATTTCTGGAAGCCAGCCTTGGGATCAGCTGGGCGTTGCATTATTAACCCAGATGGCATCTTGCACATCTGGAGCTGTCTCCTCAAAGTTATTTGAAGTTTTAAAAATAATAACAATCAAACAGTCGAAGCGATTTCACTCATGCCAAAAAAAAAGCCTATGGAGAAAGAAAATCTACCCCAGATTTTTCAGAATACTTCCCTGAATTGTCAGCTTCCCTTCACACACCCCCACCCCCCAATTTTTAAATATAAGTTTCTAGTGTTTTTTTTTACAACTAAAAAAAAGGCAATAGCACCTGCTGTTCTGACATGTGATACTTAGAATTTTTTATACTTAGAATTCGTATTAGAGTTTTGTTTAATTTCATGGCTATGTAAGTATCGGTATGGAAATAGCACGTGTGGATCAGTGTACGTGGATTTGACCCTTGTCTCATCCCCCCATCAGCTCATAAGGGAGCTCAGTCTGCGGGAAAGACGGGCTCTGCCTTGACCAAGCAACAGGTCTGTGTCTGAACAGAGATTCGAGCATGACCCGTGCCGGGCATGGTTCAGTAAATGGTTCGCTGACCTGATTCTCTGATATCCACTGTGTTCTCCCAACTTAAGCCTATGCGGCAATGGGTCAGGCAGGACTAAAACTTTCCACGTTGCTGCCAGCCCTTCAGGCGCTCCTGCTCGCCCACCAGGCCCTGTTTATTGGCAAATCCTTGGCAGTCACAGCTTTCTCAACCTGTTACGGCAATCCCTCTCTTCCAGAAATGCCAAGCAGATGCCGGAGGCAGTGGCAGAAGCACTGAAGTTTGTCTTCCAGTCAGAAGGAGGCCTCTCTGCTCCAGAAGCGGAGGAGTATCTTGCCCGCTTGGCACAAACCCGCCGCTTCCAAGCTGAGACCTGGTCTTGAGCTGCCATGGAATCTGGGATGGATGGGGAAGCTTCTCACCAAGGACCGAACCAACGTAGCCAGTGTGGTGGCGCAAACAATAAATCAAGCCAGGCCACCTGAGCCCTCCACAGCTTGGCTGCTGCATTTCAGTGTGAGGAGGGCGGGCGGGAATGCTTCACTGGTGTCCGCAGGGACAACTCCAGACCCCTTCTCTCTCACTCCGGAAGGAGTTGGCAGTTGAGCCTTGGGCCACGAGCTGGGCCCTACAGCAAGAGAGCCCTGTGAGGCTGCCTAGCGGTAGTCAGGACACAGACTGAGAGGTCCCTCGCCCTGCATCTGAGGGTGCCCTGGTAGTGGCGAGAGCGCAGTGTTTTTCATCTTGTGTGAGAAAACACAGGAGGAGCCCTGCCAAATCTGCCTAAGCAATGTCGTCTTGAGGTTCCCCTTTTGTGTTCTGCAAAAGTCCCGTCTCGACCAACCGCCTTTGCCCTGACAGAGTTTATGAAAATGTTGGCTGGCAGAGAATTTGTTCTTTTCCTCCCAATAACCGACGCAGAATTTCTGCATGGTGTGCCAAGGGGGGTATAATATTTTCTTCTCAAATGTGGCGGTCAGTAGTCAAGAGACTGAGGGATGGACAGACGTCCTTCGCTTGCATACCGTGCAGAGGGCTAGAGCGGGCCCAGCAGGAGGAGGAGGAGGAGGAGGTGGTGGTCAGGATGGAACGGTCACTGCCAGCCAACCCGGCTCCGCCTGCTGCTCTCTCAGCCTCCCAGGGTAGCTGGCCGACTGCTGCCGGAGAAGTCTTTTCCTGTAAACGGGCGAGCAGACTTCTCTGTTGGCTTGTTGCTTCCGTGCGATTTCTTGTGTCCCTCCCACCCTTCCTTGACGGAACAGATGGGACCCCTGAAGGGAATTAAGCTGAGGCCTTTGCACAGAGTTTTCTGCTCCTTGCAGCAAGCGGCTGGCTTTGCGCAGTGGCCAAAGTCAGAGGCGCAGCCCCAAGAGAAGAGGCGTTGGCAGAGTGGAAACCGAGCCGCCTTCGCGGGAGGGCCGCCGGGTGGAAACCAGATGGGCCAAGCGGTCTAGCCTGAGAGCCGAGCCCTTTTCCCTGCAGCCTGTGGCCTGGCCAGCCCCGAATCTGAGCTCCTCCACGCGCCTGAGCTGACTGCTCCGGCCCTCCCTCGCGTCCCAGCCGCCGCTCCCCCCAGCGAGCAAAGACCCACAGGCGGGGCCCGGCTGCTGAGCCGGGCTCCTCACCTCTTTCCTTCCTGCCTGGACGTGCCCCGCGGGTGTCCGTGTGCTTTTGAGTCGCGGAGCGTGGGTTGCGAAGGAACTCCCAAGCGTCGGCCTCCTGGGTTCTTTGTCCCCGGATCTGGCGTCCCGGGCCCGGATTCCTCCTTCCGGGGAGATGCTGCGCGGGGGCCAAGCAGAAGAGCGGACGCGCGTCAGGGGGAAAGGGAGAACGTGCTTGAACGGTGTAGACTCAGTCGCGCCATTACTGCCTTAATTGTAGTCTGAGCGGCGCTGCCATCGAACAAGAGCGAAGTGTCTCTCCGCTACCTCGTGTCGAAAGGGCAGCGCGTTTGCGCCTAGAATGGGTTGCTGCTGAGCGCAGCGCTGCTTCCCCCTCCAGAAAAGGATGGCCCGGTCCAGAGAAGAGCCAGTTTGGCCTAGCGGTGAAGGCGCCGGGCCGGAAAGCGGGAGACGGGGCGTTCTAGTCCCGCCTGAGGCAGGAAAGCCGGCTGGGTGACCTTGGCCAGCCCACCTCACAGGGTGGTGGTTGTGGGGAAAGCAGGAGGAGGAAGACGATGTTTGCCACCTTGAGTTATTTATAAAAATAGGAAAGGCGGGATAAAACGTCGGAAAAAACCCAAGCTTTGAGACGGAGGGCTCCCTCCTCCAACAGAAATCCAGCCTCGTGCTTCTTGCCGCGTCGCG